ACTCCATATATGGAAAGCTACCGTAACTTGTTTTGTGACGTCATTGATCAACTGATTGCAGACGTTGTCTGATGACGGTCAGCTGACGGGTCTACGCGAGCGAAAGTCCCAATTAGAGGAGAAAATGTTCGTGATGCAACAAAAACGACGAGATCTCATGATGCAGCTGGAGCAGTTGATGACGCAACTAAATGTATGTTTAGTGTAGTAATCGATAATCGATTGGTAAACATATTCCGTTCAGGCGCCAGGCGCAGGCGTGTCGTACCCGTCAGCGTCGATGTCCCAGATCCCAGAGTCGTTGGCGGGTGTGGGGTCAAAAGTCTCCAGTGCATTCCGAGCTGGTAGCCTACCGGCCGGTGCTACCAACCTCCAGGTGAGCAATATCGATTAGTATCGATCGGAATTGATCGATGAAGTTGATGCTTTGTAGGGAGACCTACTGCATGCTGCTGATCAAATCACGACAAATATGGGCGAGTTTCTGCGGGAGCTGGATCAGGGTGAGTAGGAATGAATCAACTAATAAACAAGTAAATAGGTAAATAAATAAATAAATAAATAATATTTCCAGCCCAAGACCAAGACGTACCCGCCAGCGTTCCTAATGGCCATTATCAGGGGCCGATATGAATCACTGAACTCGTCACAATTCCTCCTCTGTACCTTCTTTCCTTTCGTTCCTCCGGCTTCCATTTTCTGGCTCTTATCTTAGTTGGGCTAGTCGATCGATTATTGATTTCTAGGCGAATTTCTCTGGAATCTCTGATGAACACCATGTCTAGTACGGGTATGTAGCTAGTCAAATTTTATTCCGTTTGTTTGTGTTTGTTCCGTTGATGCACTTCTTCCCGAGTCACGAACTGCCATGAATTCCTTGTTTTTTTTCTACTTAATTATTGGTTATGATGATTCTGCTTTTATTGATTTTGTGATAAATATTCTAAATGTATTTCTGTGTTCGCGGAATTTTTTTTTGTTGGAAAAATGGATAGAAATTGATTGTCAACGAGAATTTTAACTTTATTATTGCTGTGATGTTATTCACGGGAATTCATGAAATCTGTATGGACTCGCTAGAGGAGCAAATTACTCAAAAACTCCACTAGAGAATTTGTTGGAATGTCACGTATAACAAGAAGCCGTTTGAACGCTGTGAACGTTGTGCATGTGAGTTATGGTCGCTATTATCTTGACCGACGAATTTCCTTCGCTTGTATGACCCTGCAATCGCGTATCTCTTGTATCCTAACGAGTACCAGCATGTTATAACAGAGAGGATCCGTGAAAATTTCATTAGTATTCGCGACGCACGTGGCAGGACATGCCAGAACTGGAATGAAACTGCGTCGCAGCGTTGCCGATGAGTGGTTGCGAGACAGTGCTGGACTTTAAAAATTACTTTACAATACAAATAAAAACCTTGCATTAGTTTATTTTTAATTAGTTATTTTATTATTATTTCAAAATAATTTTTAATAACTACTTATTATTATAATTAATATTCTTATTAGTTTTATTTTCCATCTGGGTCACCAAAACGGCGTAGACCCCACTTTTTTCCCATGCACCCCCCCTCCCTGCCCTCCCGCCCCCTCTC